CCTGCTGCACCCTCGCCGCCGCCCGCCCCGCCGCCACGGCCCGCCCCCCCGCCGCCGCCCGCCGCCGCCGCCTCTCCATTCTCCGGGGCCTGCTTCGGCGCAGCCGCCTCCGCCTCCGCCTCCGCGTCCGCCGCCGCCTCCGCCGCCGCCGCCGCCTCCGCCGCCTCGCCCTCTGCTTGGTCTGCCTCAGAGCGGCGGCTGGACTGGGACTGGGGCCCGGACGCTGGCGGAGGCGGCGCGGGCGGTGGGTCGAGCAGCTTCCAGATCGTCGGCTCTTCGGCGGCGATCTCGAGCCCCTCCACCGCCACCAGCCCGTCCTCCACATACTCCACGAGGTGCGAGCCCGCGGGAGGCTGCCCGAGGTCGCCGCCGCCAACGCCGCCGCCAACACCGCCGCCGTAGTAGCGTCGGACGAGCGCCTCGCAGAAACGACCGTCCCCTTCCCACCAGACGGCGACGCGCCGGCCGACGAGCTCTCCACCTCGCACCGACGGCAGTGTGGCGGGTGTGACGCCTGCAGGAGAGTTCCGAGAAGCGTCCTCGGAAGGGTGCGGGGAGCGGGCTGCCGGCAGCTGCTTGCTGGTGCGGTCCCTTCCACACAAAGGCGCGCGAGGCGAGAGTGGCATCGTCCGCCTGCCAGGGGAGACTTCTCGAGATGAGCCGAGAGAGTCTCCGAGAGTCGCCAGATACTCGCCTGCCAGAGGAGAAGTCTCGGAGGTGTCTCGGAGGTGTCTCGGAGGTGTCTCGGAGGTGTCTCGGAGGTGTCTCGGAGGTGTCTCGGAGGTGTCTCGGAGGTGTCTCGGAGGTGTCTCAGAAGTGTCTCGGAGGTGTCTCGGAGGTGTCTCAGAAGTGTCTAGGAAGTGTCTCGGAGGTGTCTCGGAGGTGTCTCGGAGAGGTCTCGGAGGTGTCTCGGAGGCGTCTCGGAAGTGTCTCAGAAGTGTCTCGGAGGTGTCTCGGAGGTGTCTCGGAGGTGTCTCGGAGGTGTCTCGGAGGTGTCTCGGAGGTGTCTCAGAAGTGTCTCGGAGGTGTCTCGGAGGTGTCTCGGAGGTGTCTCGGAGGTGTCTCGGAGGTGTCTCAGAAGTGTCTCGGAGGTGTCTCGGAGGTGTCTCGGAGGTGTCTCGGAGGTGTCTCGGAGGTGTCTCAGAAGTGTCTCGGAGGTGTCTCGGAGGTGTCTCGGAGGTGTCTCAGAAGTGTCTCGGAGGTGTCTCGGAGGTGTCTCGGAGGTGTCTCGGAGGTGTCTCGGAGGTGTCTCAGAAGTGTCTCGGAGGTGTCTCGGAGGTGTCTCAGAAGTGTCTCGGAGGTGTCTCGGAGGTGTCTCGGAGGTGTCTCGGAGGTGTCTCAGAAGTGTCTCGGAGGTGTCTCGGAGGTGTCTCGGAGGTGTCTCGGAGGTGTCTCGGAGGTGTCTCAGAGGTGTCTCGGAGGTGTCTCGGAGGTGTCTCGGAGGTGTCTCGGAGGTGTCTCAGAAGTGTCTCGGAGGTGTCTCGGAGGTGTCTCGGAGGTGTCTCGGAGGTGTCTCGGAGGTGTCTCGGAAAGAGTCGCCCGCCTGCCACGGCGCCATCGCCCACGGCGCCCCTTCCCTCTCGTCAACCTGCCGCGATAAATTAAAGTTAATTAAAGCGAATGAACGTTGATTAAAGGTACTTCCCTCTCGTCCACCTGCAGCGAGTTGAGGACGAGAAGGCGCAGCGTGGCCTGCAGGGGTGGCGGTGGTAGCAGTGGTGAAGCAGGTCGCCGCGAGGACAACGGCAGAGAGAGAGAGAGAGAGAGGGAGTGGGAGGGAG